TTGGATTTTTATTCAAAATGATCATGTCATTTGTGACTTAACAAATAAGATGTGATTTCATATAAATGATAACTGAAAAAATATTTATGATGTACGTGAACAATAACATTTTGATTTAGACAATATATTTGAATATTAATTATTTTAATCTTTTTCTCGATGCTTGTTTCTGTAGAAAATGTCTTTGATATGTTGAAAAAGAAAGATCCTTTATCAGATAATATCTTTCCTTTTTATCATAATCTTAATATTTTTCTTTATTATTTGTCTATAAATAACTTTAAATACATCGAATCTCTTTATTTTGTAGTCGATAATTTAAGAACAATAAAGGAAAAAAATTTCTAATATTATAAATTAATAAATCACTTTTTTCTCTCAATTAATGAATAATTATTTTAATTATAATTCGAATAGAAATGAAATTATAAGATTTTTTTTATATGTGAAAAAAAGTGATGATAACAATCAATATTAAATCTGAATTATATCGAGTATTTAGTAGATTTTTAATTCATTTATATTCTGTTTAAAATTTTTTGATAATAATAATAATTAGACACTGAGTTTATTTAGAGATTACAAATCTGGAAAACAAACTAACTTATGAACAAGTTCAATATTTACATGAATGTAAGTATATATATTATATTTTCATTCTTTTTCAATACAAAATTGATTAAATTAGATTATACAATGAATCAGATTCCTGAATCAATAGAAATTGAAGAAATAGCCAAACAATGGAATATTGATGATTTTGATTTGTCGGTTAGTATATTTTTTGTTCTATCTAATTAATATTAAAATTTGGTCATTTACAGAATTGGTTTTTTTATCGATACATGATTGAACTCGCAGTTGAACAACATCGATATGAAGTAAAAACGATTGCAGCTTAGATTAGATGTGAATTTCTTTTTTTTTTAACTTGTTGTAAATCTCATCATTTTCTAATTATAAGTTGAAATTTATTTGTACTTTATTTTGTGGAGATTATGAATAAAATCAAAAAATTTACATATT